ATGTGGGACTCGATCCCCTGGGATCATGACCTGAGCCAAAAGCAGACGCTCAATTCCTGAGCCACCCACGTGCCCCTAAAAAGGTTTCTTAATAAAAGTGGTGATAATTAAGAAATGAACAGATGTGTCTTCCATCCAGAGAATGTAGTCTCTTTGTTCTATGATACCCAAGGAGTTTCTGTCCAAGAAAACACTTCTCTTTGGAACTTGGGTAACTAACTCTCTCCCTCTCTCTCCCTTTTAAGTTTTAATTTATTTATTCATGAGAGACACACAGAGAGAGGCAGAGACACAGGCAGAGGGAGAAGCAGGCTCCCTGTGAGGAGCCGGATGTGGGACTCCATCCCAGGACCCCGGGACTACAACCGGAGCCAAAGGCAGACATTCAACCACTGAGCCCCCCAGGCATCCCCCAACTAACTCTCTTTTACTTAGCTATCAATTCTGAAATGCTGAATTTATGTCTTGTTGTTTTGAATTTGTCTCTAGTTTTTACCATTTGGGCTGCTTGTTCCAGAAGAGCCCCAGTATTGTCTCTGTCTTATCTCATCATGCTAGTATCCCCTTAATCTTAAATTTCCAGGCCACAGTTCTCCAGTTTGTTAAAGATCCTGCCAAAATTAGTCTCCTTCACCTTTAATATACATAACACCATTATCAATTTTTACCCAACCTTAGTATATACTCTGACCTGGGTTTACTAACACCATGATTAAGAAATGAAAACACGGAGGCCTGGGTGGCTAAGCCAGTTAAGCATCTGCCTTAGCCTCAGATCATGATCCCGGGTTCCTGGGATCCAGCCCCATGTAGGGCTCCCTGCTCAGCGGTTGCCTGCTTCTCCTTCTGCTCTTCCCCACTGCTCCCACTGGCTCTCTCTTGAGCTTTTTCTCTCTCTCAAATAAATAAAATCTTTGAAAAGAGAAAAAAAGAAATGAAAACAAACTCAAAAGAACTGAGGTATCAGGAGCAATGTGCTAAAGGAATAGCCACGATGGACCTGAGGTCTCAGGATTAGATTGTTTCTAGACTATGAATCAAATGTTCATTTGTTTTCTCAGTATTTTAGTGTTGAGTATACATAGAGATATAGCAAACACAAGCACGGATGTTTCGTATTTAACAAGCTTGTAAAATAGTGAGAAAGACATAAATGGGCACTTGGTGAATACTGAAAAATAGATTTCAAGAGGGGGAATTTTGAGTTCAGTTTGAGAACTGTTGAGTAAGAATAATTAGAAGATGTTCCAGAAGATGAAGTGATTCATAAATACTGAACACCAGGGAGTAATTGGATTGGAGATATGGAGTCATTCACCCATGTGTGTAGTAGTTTAAATAATCAGAATGTATGAAATCACTCAGTAATGATTTATAAAGTGAAAAAAGGCAACAATACAGAACTCTAATAAAAATGTAATATTTTATTGAATTGAGCTACCTGTAGATATTTTGATCCATTCATGAATCAAATATGGCTATTTTCATGTTTCATTCTGTTCGAGTTCTTTATCCTATTGATAACTTAATGTAGAGATTTATAGAATAGCCATATATTTGCTTTTCTCAGATTTTGCTTCCATTTAATTTTTCTAATTCACAGGACTGAGGAAATCCAGAAGCTGGAGAATGTCCTAAGTTACTGTCATAAAGAAGGTTAATTGAACTAAAATTCACCAAGTACTCCCCCATTTATCATTATTTTATCATTTGATTATTATTCCAGTCACCTTAATCTTTTTTTGAGTTTTTTAAAGTTTTAATTTAAATTCCAGTTAGTTAACATAGAGTATAATATTAGTTTTAGGTGAACAGTATATTATTTCAACACTTTCATGCATCACCCGTTCTCATCACAACCACTGCTCTCCTTATTCCCCATCACCTATTTCCTCCATCCCTCTACCCATATCCCCTCTGGTAACCATCAGTTTGTTCTCTATGGTTAAGAGTCTATTTCTTGGTCGGCCTCCCTCTCTCTTTTCAAGCCCCTTAATCTTTTAATAATTGAAAAATATAGGTCTTGACTGACAAATTTAACCAATGTGGAAAACAATCAACATGATATTTCAATGATTAGTATTTTTCAGACAGTTTCTGTCAAAGTCAGATTACTAAAAGTCAATAAAGTAGGCTTTATAGGGTCAACTGGGTGGCTCAGTTGGTTATGCATCTGCCTTCAGCTCAGGTCCTGATCCCAGGGTCTTGCTTCTCCCTCTCCTCTGCGTCTCCCCGTGCTTGTGCTCTGTCTCTGGCTCTCTCTCTTTCAAATATATAAAATCTAAAAAACCTGAGGCTTTATAACATAATTTTCTTCCTATGTTTGTTCTTTTTTTTTTTAAGATTTTATTTATTTATTCATGATAGTCACACAGAGAGAGACAGAGAGGCAGAGACACAGGCAGAGGGAGAAGCAGGCTCCATGCAGGGAGACCGACGTGGGATTCGATCCCGGGTCTCCAGGATCGCGCCCCGGGCCAAAGGCAGGTGCCAAACGGCTGCGCCACCCAGGGATCCCCACTATGTTTGTTCTACATGAGGACACCTATTATGTTAATCTGAGTAATATCATCGTCAAGTTTCTACTAGATTTATGAAAAACTGACTTCTAAAGAGAATCAGGAGTTATTTTTTTTTTTTTTGAGTGTAAGTCAGTGTTATTTCAGATGCTTTCCTCAAGGAACAGCATACTTACTAACAACTTCCCAATATTTGTGACATTTACACTAAGTAGTATATCTCTGCAGGGCTCTTGCAAAAGAAAATAGCAGAGCTCTGATTATGAGCTAAACTCCTTTTCGTGATGATGGTGACTACAGGAACTAATATTAGCTGTTTTATTGGTGGCACTTGCCACCAATAAATAGGATCCCTGTAATCCTATTTAAATCTTAGCTCAGGGCAGCCCGGGTGGTCAGCGGTTTATCGTCTGCCTTCCACCCAGGGTGTGACCCCGGGGTCCTCCCTGCAGGGAGCCTGCTTCTCCCTCTGCCTGTGTCACTGTGTCTCTCATGAATAAATAAATAAAATCTTTTAAAAATATATAAATAAATCTCAGCTCAAGTCACAACGAGCATTGTCTCAATAAAAACAACAAAACCTCAGAATTTTGTGATATTTCAATTTATCATGTCTACTTAATCAGCTTCCCATAGCTGCTCTGGGCTCCATCCTCTCACTAGCATCAAACATACTCAGTATGTTTGTTCCACAAGATGTGGAAACTAAGACTCAAAGTCCTATAGATGGTGATTATATAATATCTTCAGTAATAGATAAAATTCTAATTTCATATTTATAAAATGTGGAAACAGTGTGAAGAAGGTGGTGGTTATCCATCCAACTGTTAGGTCATCCCTGGCCCCATAGCGTTTCTGTCTGGGAGCTGACTTAACTACGTATGTAAAAATATGTTATTTGAAGTTTTCAACTTGTCTGTTTACTCTTTGTCTTGGTTGTCTGCAATATCTTCGAGTCCCAGTGCTTCACATGATCAGTCTATCTCATGAAAACAAAGTATAATTAGCTTTAGGTGTTACCTGCCCTTTTATTTTTAAATTTTTTAAAAAAGATTTATTTATTCAGGAGAGACACCTAGAGAGAGGCAGAGACACAGGCAGAGGGAGAAGCAGGCTCCTCGCAGGGAGCCCGATGTGGGACTTGATCCCAGGACCCCGGGGTCATGCCCTGAGCCGAAGGCAGATGTCCAACCACCAGCCACGGGGGGCCCCCTGCCCTTATATTTTTTTGATAGTTGAGAATAAAGTATCTCAAATATCTGAAGACAACTTTCCAATTACAAATATGAAGCCTGGTACATTGAGCTCCATTCCTGGCATTCACATTTTGTTTAGAAAAAAACAGACCCGAAACTCTTAGTGACTCTGTGCATGATATTTGGACTGTCTGGATTCTTTGCTTAGAACATGACAAATTACCCATCAGAAACTCAAGAAAGTCACACAGCTGTTTCTTTTTTGTATTCCACTCCACCCATGGGTCATCGGCCTGATATTGAAGCATTATACTCAGATGTTGCTTTTTTTGTTATTTTTCCATTTGATAAGGGGATAATCCTATGTGAGCAACAAATTATAAAGAATACGAGAATGAACTGCGAAGTTGAAAAAGAAATACAGGACGAAGTGGTTGTGATACAAATACTTAATTTTGTTATTCATTGCAATAGTAAGCACAAATTTTAATCTCTTCAAAATATGAAGAATGATTTTATACATCTCAGCCAAGATTTCTGTTGTAAATTGATAAAATGATTCTGGGAAGGGGGAATTGGAGTGCATGTCTCCAAATTTCCTGCCTGTAGAATTAGCTACTGCTTCACAAGCTCTCTGCAGACTAAATATTATATTGGGGAGTGTGTCATCCCACATTAAGCCTGTTGCAAAACTTTTGCTAGTTCAGTGCTTAAGTGTCAGTGAATTACTTGGCAAGAATGAATGGGAGTAGGGGAAGGGTCACATAATATCGAGGGTTTAAATATTTTTCCATCAGTCCTCTGAGAAAACAAAACAATGCAAATGGTGCCCCTTCCTATTATGAACATCCTGCTCAAAAAAAATAGCAAGACTTCCTTTTTCCTTTGATTTAGAAGGGTACCTTTCTTTACAAAGGTACTTCTTCCTATGGTCACAGGAAGAAAAACTAGTGGGGGGAAAGCAGAGAAAGAGAGAGGGAGAGAAAAGCCCTCAAGGAGTGATACAATGCCTACCTAAAGACAGCTTCTTTAATGAGGAAAGATGGGTTGAAAGGAGTCTTGCATGAGTCTGAATTACAAGGTGTGGTTGGAACGAGTCCTTCCCCGACTGCTTTTGTTTTATGCACCACCTGTCTCTGAAAGATGTGATTTCCACCCACGGAGTTCGCTTTGCCTCTGTGAGTTAATAATTTCCCAGGACTCCAAACTTCAAAAACTTCCTAGACAGGTTTTCATATCTTTAGAACTCGACTTTGTAGTACAGGAATCTATTAGTCGAATCAATAGATAACATAAAGTTACCTGTCTGAAGGTGCAGTAGCTTTTCCAAGTGACAAATTTCCCCGTCTTCCTATATACCAAGGTGAGCACACAATTTTATCATTCAAACTGGGATACTTTTGAGAATTTAATAATTACAAGGCCAAGAGGCTATAGAGGGATTTTTCTAAAATCCTGAATATCTAGGGTTTCCCATAAATGCTTTTTATGGGAAGAACCTGTTTTAGTTTTTTTGCTTTAACTGCTGGACACCTGTGACCGTTGCCACGTGCAACCACTCCTGGTTGCCCACACTTGCCATGCTTTGGCGTCACGATGCCTTGATCAGTGTTGGGCCCTCCTCTATTTTCTGAATAAGATAAACTTCCGGTTAGAGTTTCTCAGTTACCTTTTGATATTAAATTTTTGTAATGCTGTAATAGCACAGAATATTTTCCTTTCAATGTTTTGGAATTTTCCAGGAAAGACTGGCTGTGGAATCGTCTTTCTGCTTATCTCCAGGACCAACACCTAGAACCTCTTCATTAAAGGTAGATAGTGGGCAGGGTGAAAAAATAAAAACAGGGACAAAAATCAAGGAAAGCATTTCATACCATATCTGTTAAAAACAAGTTTTCTTTATTATTATTATTAATAATATTATTATTATTCTTTAATAATATTCTATTATTGATTATATTATATCTTGAAAATCCCAATCTAATGTTAATGAGTATAAAACTTAAAATAGCCAATTACTTACAGCTTGTTTGCCTACTGTTGATGTAATTTTTTCATTGTTTTGTGGCTTTTATTATTGCTGACAAGAAGCTTACTGTCAGTATAACCTGAGCAGCTATCCTTTCTGTTTGGTAGCTTTTTATAGTTTTGATTTTAAATCTTTATTTGGAAATATAACGTACATTAAGAAAAGAAGCAGGGCACCTGGGTGGCTCAGTGGTTGAGCATCTACCTGCAGCTAAGGGCCAAGCCCAGGATCCAGGATCCAGGATCAAGTCCTGTCGGGCTCCCTGCATGAAGCCTGTGTCTCCCTCTGCCTGTGTCTCTGCTTCTTTCTCTGTGTCTCTCATGAATAAATAAATAAAACCTTTAAAAAAAGAAAAAAGAAAACAAGCAAAACTTAAATAGCTCAGTAAAATTAGCACAAATCAAAAACCCACATGACCACCACCTATGGAGTTGTGCCTGCAGGAGCCCTACTCCTGCTGCATCCAACTACCCTCACCAAAGGAACAAACTTTATGAATTTGACTGTGATAGTATCATGCTTTTCTTTCACTGGACACCAAAGTGTGGGCCCCTACGAAGTTTAGTTTTGTCTTGTTTTTGAAATTATCTAAATGGAACCATGTAGTAAATACTATATTTCAAATGGCTTCCTTCACTTAATGTTGAGTTTGCGAGATTCATCCATGCATCAGTAGATGCTTCCTTGCCCTATAATTTATAGTATCCCATTGTATACTGTTACCAATTTATTCTGCTTTGATATTTAGATTGTTTGAAATTTTTGCTTGTTAAAAATAATGCTATATGATCATTCTTGCACATGCCTCTTACTGCCCGTGGGTCTGTGAGTTGTTGGATATAGTGCTAGCAATCACATTGCTATATCATAGCGGTTTTCTATTTTCATTATTAATAGATAATTTTAAACTTCTTTTTGGAGACGATATTTCAATTGACATTCCCAACAGCAGTGTCGTGGTTTTGCTTTTGCTCCACGTTTACACCAATACTTGATGTTACGACTTTGCTTTATTATAACTCTAATTAGTGATAATAATTCACCGTGGTTAGAAATTTTATTTCATTGATTATTAATGTATTTGGATACCTTTATTTATTAGTCATTTAGGTATTCTGTTTTTTTGAAGCAAATTTTAAAAATACTTCTTGATTAAAAAAAAAAAAAAACTACAGCAAGAGAGAGCACAGGCGTGGGGAGGTACAGAGGGAAAGAGGAAGAGAAAATCCTAAGCAGGATCCATACCCATCATGGAGCCCAAAGTGGAGCTTTATCTCAAGACTCTGAGATCATGACCTGAGCTGAAATTAAGAGTCGAGCGCTTAATGGACTGAGCCACCCAGGCGCCCCCTTCTTGATTTTTTAAATTTTATTTCCCTCTTTCTCTCTCTTTTCTTTAAATCAAGATTTAGTTGTATATATTGTCTTTTGTCATCTATACAACAGATGTCCTCTACTACTTTGTGGCCTATCTTTTCATTATCTTAATGGTTTTTTGGTAAATAATAATGTGCAATTTTAATACAGTCTAGTTTTCAGTACTATCTTATGTATCATGTCATTTTCTTTCCTACTTACCCAAACTTGCTTTATCCCAGTATTGTGAAAACAATGTACTGTTTTACATGTGTGAACATGTACTGTTTTAGTTATAACATTTAAATCTGTGGATCACTTAAAAATGCAGTTTGTACATGTTTTGAGGAAGAGTTTGAATGTATTTTCCATATGAATATCCCATTGTCCCATCATCTTACCTTTTGCTTCTTCATGAGTGTCAGTTATTCTTGGCTCTTTGTTTTTCAATGTTAATTTTAGAATTATTTTTTAAATTGGCATGCAAACATACAAGCACTCTTAATGGTATATTTATCAGTTTAAAGAGAAATGAGATCTTTATAAATTTCATGTTTCCATTCCATGAATATAACCTATTCATTTAAGTATTCTTTAATTTCTCTCAGTATTTTATATTTTTCTGCCAGTGATATTGTGTATCTTCTATTAGATGAATTCTAGATTTTGATATTTGTAATGTATAAATGGTATAGTTTTCAAATTAATTTTCTGTTTTATGTTGGTGTAAAAATACATGTGATTCTTGAATGTTAACCACTTTGCGAAATTATTGCTTATTCTAATTCTATACCTGTTATTATTGTGGACTTTCTATCAACACATTCTTATTATCTGTGAGCAAATTATAGATTTAAAATGTCATCTCTAAAAAAATCTCACGTATTTAGTTCATTTTCTTTCAGTAATGTGTAAATTAGAACTATCAGTACTGAATTGAATTAAAATGGTTTTAGTGGACATTTTTGTCTCATTCTTGACCTAAATGGAAAGCTTTCAACACTTGACCATTATGCATGATGTTGATGAAGGTTTTTTTTTTTTTTAATAGTTATCAGATTATCATTTCTTTCCATTTCCAACCCTAGTTTCTGAGAACTTATAGCAGGGATTTATACAATTACTTCAAATGTTTTTCTTGCATCTGCTGAGATCATCATAAGATACTCCTACCTGTCCGTTTACCTCTCTGTGCCCAGCAGGAAAGAAAGAGCAAAAAGTAGGGTTAAGAATATCCAACAAGAGGGGATCCCTGGGTGGCTCAGCGGCTCAGCGGTTTAGCGCCTGCCTTTGGCCCAGGGCGTGATCCTAGAGTCCCGGGATGGAGTCCCGCGTCAGGCTCCCGGCGTGGAGCCTGCTTCTCCCTCCTCCTGTGTCTCTGCCTCTCTCTCTCTCTCTCTCTCTCCGTCTATCATAAATAAATAAATAAGTCTAAAAAAAAAAGAATATCCAACAAGAATTGTCAGAGCCCCTCAGAACTGGTTGTAGCAGGGAAAGCTCTGTGCACGACAGCAGAAGAGTAGAGAGATACCTCACTTCGGTGAGATACAGAGGAATAGGAGACCCCTGCAATCGAAGCTCCGATTTGGGGTTGCAACATGCACAGGGGCAGATGGACGACGCAATGGGGAGAGAACTGCAAGAAGAGGTGTCCGGTACCACTGTTTACTACCTTCTTTGGCCAGTGTCTCCCATTGACTAGACAAACCGGGTAGCAACTGAAACTTATTGACAAGCCAAGGCACAAAGGCAGAGGGAGCAGACAACTGTCCCAGAGGGGCTGATGGGAACATCAGAACAGATCCAATAGCTTGGTGAGCGGCCTGGGTTCATTTGAAGTCACGTTGAGTTCCCAGCATCAACGTAACTTGGCTGTGATTTTTTTGCTCCTTTACTACATTGCTGATTTTGGCTTGGGAATATTCCACTTAGAATATTTACGAATATGATTGTAAGAGAGGTTTTTATGAGGGAAGAGTTTGTCAAGTTTTAGAATTGAAATTACTCTGGCCATATAGAATGAGATGTATAGGGTTTCTTCCCTTTCAACTGTCTGAAAAATTTTGGAATTATTGTTAGAATTCTTTCTTCAAGAGTTTGATGTAATTATCAGCTTATGTCATCAGAGCCAAAAGAATTCTTTGAAAGTTTCCTGATTATATATACAATTAATTATTAGTAAAGAGATCTGTTCAGGTTTTCTATGTTTTTCTTAAATCAGATTGGTTATCTTTCTCTAGATATTAGTTTATTTCATCAAGCTTTTTCTTTGTTCTTGATAATTAAGTTCATGAGATCTTCTTTTTTTTTTTTAATTTTTATTTATTTATGATAGAGAGAGAGAGAGAGAGAGGCAGAGACACAGGCAGAGGGAGAAGCAGGCTCCATGCACTGGGAGCCCGACGTGGGATTCGATCCCGGGTCTCCAGGATCGCGCCCTGGGCCAAAGGCAGGCGCCAAACCGCTGCGCCACCCAGGGATCCCCATGAGATCTTCTTACTTTCTTTTAGTGTTTGTCAAATAAGCCACAAACCACTCTTTTTTATTCTTGATGTTGGTCATCTAAGCATGCATGCTCGCTCTTTCTCTCACCTCCCTTTTTTATGATAATGGGTATATAAATTTTATTAGTCTTTGTGTAGAACCTCATTTTGGTTTTGTTGATCCACTTATAGATCTTTTTTCTATTTTACAAATTCGTGTGCTAATTGTTTCCTTTTATATTTTTTCTCTCAATATTTTAATTCTTTTACTCAGTAGAGATACTTAGGTCAATGATTTTCAGCATTTCTTTTGTTAAAAAATATATTTTTATATGATAAACCCCCTAATCTTGATTTTAGGTACATCCTAAAAAATTTATTTGTTGTTGTTTTTTAAGATTTATTTGTGTATTCATGAGAGACGCAGAGAGAGGCAGAGGCATAGGCAGAGGGAGAAGCAGGCTCACCACAGGGAGCCTGATGCAGGACTGGAGGACCCTGGGATTACCACCTGAGCCAAAGGCACATGCTCAACCACTGAGTCACCTGGTGCCCCCCAAATCTGTTATTTGTATTCTCATTTTTATTCAGTTAAAAGTATTCCAATTTTTATTATGATCTCTACTTTATGCATGGGTTATTTTGAATTTATGATCTTAATTTCTAAATAAATGAGAACTCTCCAGTTTTATTTCTTGCTAAATCATTTTCTTTATAAGTTGAATACTATGTTATTTGTTGAGACTTTGCCATCGTCTGAATTTTGTGTTCCCTGAAAATTCATGTGTTGAAATCTTAATGTCCAATGTTATCATATTTAGAAGTGAGGCCTTTGGAATGTGCTTAGCTCATGAAGATGGAGCCCTTATGAAGTCAGCCACGAGGAAGAGGGCACTCTGATCTTGCATTTGACTCTACTGGCCCCGTGATCTCGTACTTCTAGCCTCCAGAGCTGTGAGAAAGAAGTTTTTGTTGTTTAGAAGCCATCCAGTCTGTGGGATTTTGTTACAGCAGTCCTAACAGACCAGAACAGGCTTGCTTTAAGTGCAGCACATGGTCAGTTTTGGTAAATTTTCCATGTGCATTCGAAAATAACATGTATTGGTAGTTTTGAAATGTTTTTTTACATGTGTTTATTAGGTCTAAATTGGCTGATCCTGATTATGCTATTAAAGTCCTTCTGCTTCTTTTATTTCTACCTGAATGCTCTATTATATACCGAAAGAATTGTTATCCCATAATGAAATTTTCTTTTTTCTGTAATTTAGAATTTAGAAAATTTTAGAATATGTCATTGGGTAAATATTGATGTTTATCATCTTGGTGAATTGATCCTTTTTATGATAATGAAATATATTTCTTAAAAAAACAAGAAAGAAATCTATTTCTTTATCACTAACTGCTATCTCCCTTAAGACTTCCTCAGGAATCAATAAAATTGTATTAACTTTTCTTTAGAATTTGTCTAATATTTATTCTCAGTATCTTCCTTTTATTTCTTTTATATCCTTATATTTTGGCTGTTTCTTTGTATGCAGCATATAGGAGTGTGTGTGTGTGTGTGTGTGTTTATCTCATCTGATGATTTTGTATTTTAATTGAAGAATATAATTCATTGACATTAAACGTTATTACTGATATATTTGGTGTTAATAACTTTTTTGCTTCTATTTGTTTCATCTGGGGATCCCTGGGTGGCGCAGCAGTTTAGCGCCTGCCTTTGGCCCAGGGCGCGATCCTGGAGACCCGGGATCGAATCCCACGTCGGGCTCCCGGTGCATGGAGCCTGCTTCTCCCTCTGCCTGTGTCTCTGCCTCTCTCTCTCTCTCTCTCTCTGACTATCATAAATAAATAAAAATTAAAAAATATATATATATTTATTTGTTTCATCTGTTTTCTGTGCCTTTCATGTCTTTTCTTTTGAATTTACAAACTAAGAATTTGAATTGCTCCATTTTCCCTCTCTGTTAGTACCCTTTCTTTTATTTTCACTCTGTTAGCATTTTAAATGATCACCCTATAATTTATAGTATGCATTCTTGCTTTTTCAAAATAAAATACTGACATTCCTCCCATTCCAAAGAATAAAAGGACTTTTATTTTTTTAAGTTTTTATTTAATTTCTACTTAATTAACATATAGTGTAATATAGTTTCATGTATATAATATAGTGACTTAATATTTCCATACAACACCCAGTGCTCACTACAACAAGTGCATGCCTTAATCCCTGTCACCTGTTTCACCCCCCTTCCCCACCCCCCTCCTCTCTGGTGACCATCACTTCTCTATAATTAAGAGTCTGTTTCTTGATTTGCCCCCCCCCTTTTCTTTTTAGTCTTTGCTTATTTATTAAATTCCACATATGAATGAAATCATATGGTATTGGTCTTTGTCTGACGGACTTACTTCACTTGGCAAAATACTCTCTAGCTCCATCCACATCGTTGCAAATAGCAAGATTTCCTTCTTTTTTATGGCTGAATAACATTCTTATATACTTATAGGAATGTTGAGTTTTATAAATTATATATATAATATATAAATATAAATATATATGTTGAGTTTTATAAATTATATATAATTTATAAATCTATATTATATATAATCATATTATATAACATATAATTATGTAATAGATATTATATAATAAATATATTTATTTATAATTATCTATTACATAATACATAATATATTATGTGTGTGTGTGTATATATATATATATATATACACATAGAGAGAGAGAGACTTCTTAATTCTTTCATCACTTGGACTATATCCATTATTTCGCTATTATATATAATGCTGTTATAAACATCAAGGTCAGTGTATACCTTTGAATTAGTATTCTTGTGTTCTAGTAATGCAATTGCTGGGCCATAGGGTAGTTCTATCTTACTTTTTGAGGAACTCCCATACTGTCTTCCAGAGTGGCTGTTCCAGTTCACATTCCCACAAACAGTGCAAAAGGGTTACTTTTTCTTCACATCCTTGCCAGCACTTGCTTTTTCTTGTGTCTTGATTTTTGCCATTCTGGCAGGTATGAGGTGATATCCCATTGTAGTTTTGATTTGCATTTCCCTGATTAAAAGCAATGTTGAGCATCTTTTTATGTACCTGTTGGCTATCTGGATGTCTTCTTTGGAAAAATGTCTGTTCATGTCCTCTGCCCATTTTTTTTTTTTTTTTTTTACTAACTCTGCCCACTTTTTAACTGGATTATTCATGTTTTGGGTGTTGAATTTTATAAGTTCTTTATATATTTTGGATACTAACCATTTATCAGCTATCTTCATTTGCAAATATCTTCTCCCATTTAGTAGATTGTCTTTTAGTTTTGTTGGTTGTTTCCTTTGCGTGAAGAAGCTTTTTATTTTGATGTAGTCCCAATAGTTTATTTTTGCTTTTGTTTCCCTTGCCTCAGCAAATGTAAGTAGAAAGAAGTTTCTATGACCTATGTCAAAGAAGTTACTGCCTGTATTCTCTTGTGGGACTTTTATGGATGAGGCCTTTAATCCATTTTGAATTTATTTTTGTGTATGATGTAAGAAAGTGGTCTAGTTCCACTTTTTTGCATGTAACTGTCCAGTTTTCCTAGCACCATTTGTTGAAGAGACTGTCTTTTTCCCTTTCGATATTCTTTCCTACTATGTGGAAGATTAATTGACCATATAATTGTGAGTTCAGTTCTGGGTTCTCTATTCTGTTCCATTGCTCTGTGTCTATTTTTGTACCAGTACCATACTTTTTTGATCACTAGAGCTTTGTAAATACTTGGAGTCCAGAATTGTGGTGTCTCCAGCTTTGCTTTTGTTTTGTTTTGTTTATAGTTTATCAATTATTTCTATTCTAATCTTTATTATTTCCATCCTTCTGCTGGCTTTGGGCTTTGTTGTTCTTTTTCTAGCTCTTTAGGTATAAGGTTATGTTGCTTATTTCAGATTTTTCTTGCTTCTGAGGGTAGGCCTATATTGCTATATACATCCCTCTTAGAACCACTTTTGCTGTGTTCCAAAGGTTTGGACCACTGTGTTTTCATTTTCATTTGTTTCCATGTATTTTTTCAAATTTCTTCTTTCATTTCTGAGTTGACCCATTCATTGTTTAGTAGCATGTTATTAAAGCTTCATGTATTTGTTGCCTTTCCATATTTTTTCTTATGATTCACTTCTAGGCTCATAGCGTTGTGGTCAGAAAAGGTGCAAAGTATGATTTCAATATTTTTGTACCAGTTGAGGCCTGATTTGTGACCCACTATGTGACATATTCTGGAGAATGTCCCATGCGCACTTGAAAAGATTGTGTATTCTGCTGTTTTCAGAAGGAATGTTCTGAATCTATCTGTAATGTCCATCTGGTCCAATGTGTCATTCAAAGTCAATATTTTCTTCTTGATTTTCTGCTTAGATGATCTGTTCATTGCTGAAAGTGGTGGTGTTAACAGTCCCCTTCTATTATTATATTATTATTAATTAGTTCTTTTATGTTTGTTACTATTTTACATAGTTGAGTGCTCCCATGTTGGGTGCATAGTTACAATTATTATATCTTCTTGTTGGATTGTCCCTTTTATTATCATATAGTACTCTTTGTCTCTTGTTACATTCTTTGTTTAAAAGTCTAGTTTGAGGGATCCCTGGGTGGCGCAGCGGTTTGGTGCCTGCCTTTGGCCCAGGGCGCGATCCTGGAGACCCGGGATCGAATCCCACGTCGGGCTCCCGGTGCATGGAGCCTGCTTCTCCCTCTGCCTGTGTCTCTGCCTCTCTCTCTCCCTCTCTCTCTCTCTCTCTCTCTCTGTGACTATCATAAATTTAAAAAAAAAAAAAGTCTAGTTTGGGGCAGCCCTGGTGGCTCAGTGGTTTAGCGCCACCTTCAGCCAGGGGTGTGATCCTGGAGACATGGGATCGAGTCCCACATCAGGCTCCCTGCATAAAGCTTGCTTCTCCCGCTGCCTGTCTCTCTCTTTCTCTCTCTCTCTCTCTCTCTCTCTCTCTCTCTTTCTCTCTCTCTCTCCCTGTGTCTCTCATGAGTAAATAAATAAAATATAAAAAAAAATAAAAGTCTAGTTTGTCTGAGCTAAGTATTGCTAATCCAGTTTTCTTTTGACATCCATTTGCTCTATGATAAAGGTTCTCCACCCCCTCACTTTCAGTCTGCAGGTGCTCTTAGGTCTAAAATGAGTCTCTGGTAGACAACATATTGATTGGCCTTGTTTTTTTAATCCATTATGACACTCTATGTCTTTGGATTGAAGTGTTTAGTACATTTACATTCAAAGTAATTATTAGTAGATATGTATTTATTGCCAATTTATCATTTGTTTTGTCATTGTTTCTGGAAATTTTCTCTGATGCTTTCTTGTCTTTGTCACTTTTGATCTTTCTGCTCAAAGAGTCCCCCTTTTTCTTGCAGGCTGGTTTAATGGTCTCAAACTACTTTAGTTTTTGCTTATCTTGGAAACTCCTTATCTCTCCTTCTCTTCTGAATGATAACCTTGCTAGATAAAGTGTTCTTGCCTATGGATTTTTCCCATTCAGCACTTTTTTTTTCATTTTTCATATTTAACTACAATATGTCTTGGTGTTGGCCTGTTTTTGGTGATTTTGGTGGGAGTTCTCTGCCTCCTGAATCTGGATGTCTGTTTCCTTCCCCAGTTTAGGGAACTTTTCACCTATTATTTCCTCAAATATATTTTCTACCCCCTTTTCTGTCTCTTCTTCTGGGACTCCTATAATACAAATATTATGTCTGATGGAGTCACTGAGTTTCCAGGTCTGATCTTGTTTTGCATAATTCTTCTTTCCCTCTTTTGTTTGGCTTCATTATTTTCATTACTTTATCTTCTAGGTCACTAATTCATTCCTTTGCTCCTTCTAGCCTGCTGTTCTATGTGTCTGGCTTTTTAATTTCAATATATATTTCATTTATATAAATTCTTTATGTTTTGCAAATGTAGATGTCTTTTTCCAAATTTTCTGTTTGCTTTATTGCTTAATTGCTTCTTTCATCTATTTGAACTTTTTGACAAATATGTTTTGTTCTTTTAGATTGCTCTCGTTTTTTAAGTTGTGTGATCCTAATTCT